ATAAAATCTCAGCCGACTGTAAGTCAAGGGATCCTCTAGTAATTAAGTCTCGTATAAAATAATTTAATTCTGGGTAGGTTATTACATTTATTTTCTTGATTTAGTATTACGTGTTCTGTGAAACGATCCTCTTCTTCCTATGCCAATTTTCTGTCACTCGAACCCAGGTCCGCTTCAACCTAAAGGCTTCCATGACGCTTGTATGTGAGGTGCAACACCTCACAGCGTGATATCGGCCTCAAAAATTGATGATATATTTGCGTATTCTATAAAGAGTTTATTTTTAGATGTGTGTTCCGAAAAATCGGTTAAACGAAACCAGCAATATGGTACCATGCGTGCAACAAATATCATAGCATGTCGTTTTCCAACAAGCCAGGCACTAAGAACCACCAGACACGTTGAACAACAAGTCTAACTCTTATCCTGGTCACCGAATTTGCGCCCAAAACGTATTTCATTAAACTTCTTTATGTCAGGAGTTATTATTCTTTGAAGAACTGACAGTGAAATAACCACAAAAGTAACATAACAGATTACTGTTGTTAACACACTGGCGCCACATACTAAAGACAGAACTCACAGCAATACATGAAAAGTCACATAACTGAACACTCAAAAATATGCATCTCTCGGATGTCGTCATCAAATACATTGAGTAATATTAACGCATCACTTTAAGGATATAAACCTATTATGCGCAAGTACACCAACAAAAAACTCGAATCTCTTCGCACAATAAAAAATACCTCTTTTAAAGAAATGTACCTATTCGCAAAAGTCCAGTTATAACGAACAATGAGAAAACAGGGATACATAAAAGACCAAAGGGGAGAAAAGAAAAGGGGTTCATATCCGGAAATGAGGAGTAAAATTTTATATGATGGAATCGGAGTCGGAACTTGCTTAGTATTTTCTGCATGTTCACCCAATCTATCATTCACTTCCTTTGATAACTTCTGCCTATATTTTCTGATTTCCTTAATCTCCCGTCTCGTTTCTTCTTTAAAGAACTTAATAGCATGTGAAAATTTTACCCCTTCTTCCTCAAATTTCGATGACAATTTCTCGTTTCCTGACTTATTAGAAGTGGAATGGGAAGAAAAAAGCTGTGAACCGCAGGTAGAAAGATTAGTCCCCATGTTCCATAAAACAAATGTTTTAGGATTACAAAACTTTCTTCGGGAAAAGTTTAAATTATGGGCTGGAAATGGTAGTAGCGTGGAAGAGATATGGGAAAGCTATAAGGATATAGTCTTCGAGGGTATCGATCGTTTTGTACCTCAAAGAATCCTGAGTAAAAATCCGGATCCGGAATATTATACCAAGGAAGTGAAACGTCTGAAGGTAAAGGTGAGGAGGGTGTATAATAAGAGAAAATCTGGACGGCAGTACCAAGCGGAGTTGAAACGGTTATCCAAGGAGTTACTGATAGTAAAAAAGAAGGCTCAAGAGACATTCTTAACTTCCGTCTTGCAAAGCGAAGGTAGAAGCTGGACAGAGTTTTACAAATATACAAATATAGGATATCTGTCGGTTCCAATTAAAAGTGTCCAATATAGAGGGGTGTCCAGGATATAGGGGTGTCCAACTAGAGGGGTTTTACTGTATGTTAAAAGACGTAAGGGTAATAGAGAAACTATTCCGGCAATCAAGGGCGTTAAAGGAAACCTCATCACAGATCAAACAGAAAAGGCCAACTCCCTTAACGCTTATTATGCGTCGGTATTCAGTTGCGAACGGATAATTTCGCTAAATAACCAGCTAATCCAATCAACAGATTCAGATAAAACGTTTACCATTAGTATCAATATCATAAGGAAACGGATAGCAGCAATCGGGAAAAATAAATCCGTCGGACCAGATGGCATCCCCGGGGAAATTTTAAAGTTAGGTGGGGAAGCAATGATTCCATACCTTGCGCGTCTGCTGGAGGTAACGATGAACAACAATTCTATCCCAGGGGACTGGAAGAAAGCTATAGTGGTCCCTATTTATAAAGGGGGAGATCGATCGGTAGTTGGGAACTATAGACCGGTCAGTTTAACCTCGGTGGTTTGCAAGCAAATATGGACTTGAGGGTAGTGGTATGGCTAAAGGAATTTCTCTTAGGACGTTGGCAAAGAGTTAGAGTGGACGGGAAACTATCTCATGAAGTCAGGGTAACGTCAGGAGTGCCGCAAGGGAGCGTATTAGGTCCCTTACTATTCCTAGCTTATGTTAATGATATTTGGAAAAACATTGATTCAAATATACGGCTTTTCGCTGATGATTGTATAATATACAGGAAAATAATGGATAGTAGTGACATTGATAAGTTACAGACAGATTTGAATAG